ATTATTATTTTTATTATTATTATTATTATAATTATTATTTTATTATTATTATTATTTTTATTATTATTATTTTTATTATTATTATTTTTATTATTACTATTTATTATTATTATTATTATTTTATTATTACTATTATTATTATTATTATTATTGTTTTATTATTTTTTTATTTTTTATGTTTTTATTGTTATTATTCTTATTTATTTTTTTTATTTTTTAAAATTATTATTATTATTATTATTATAAGTTGTGCATATAAAATTAACTTAAATAATAAATTTAAATTCCTTTTATAAATAATTTGTGACGATAAGAAATATGTAAATGACCGGAAATACTATTACTTATTGATGTAAAATATAAATTAATTTTGTTTAATTTTTTCAAGTATAAAAACCTTAAATTAAATAAATTTTTATCATGTCAACGACTTTAAGGGTATTTCAGACATTTTGATCAAAAAAGTGTTTGTCAGCACTTATTTGTCAAACACATCAACAACTTTTTTTCAAATGCAACACTTTTATCCAGACATATAACTACTTATTTAAAAATAAGTTTCAGCACTTTAAAAGTTGTTCTTTTAAGTCAATCCAAACGGGCTCTAAATATAGATAAACTTTTTTAATTCGTGTGAATACAAAAAGAAATTATAAATAATTTCAATATGATATAAAAACAAACAATAACAGAAACTCTTATATGCTAAAAGTCCTACTTATTCTTTTTCTCCAATTCTGTGCTTTTTTTGTCATTATTTAAATTGTAATTTTCTCTAAATAGTTATACATTTAGTGAATTTTGTAACTCCTCAAGAGTTAAAATATTCACTCTTTATTATTTGTACAATTATTCTTTGATAATTAAAACAAATAAAAATGACTATAATTTTGTATCGAGTTGTTTTTTGAAATATTAATATTGGTTGCTTTTCAATTTTATTATTATAATTTTTTATATTTATATTTTATGTGATTGAGATAGTTAGTCGTTCTTTCCTTTTTATTACTATTGACATGCTTTTTGTAATTTTCATATTTTAACTTGCATAATTTTCTTTAAAAATAAAGAATTTTATAAAAAATTATATACCTAACAAGTATGTTTTTTTTGTTAAATAAATCATATTGAAGAACTATATTTAAAAAGCTCTAAGTTCAGTAGTTCCTTCTATAAAAATAAGCATCCATACTTTAAAAAACAAGGAGGACAGATTATATACGTATTTGCTTTCCATATATAACAAAATAATTTGAAACAATATGTTAGTGAAAAAATTTACAAGATAATAAAATTGCAAAATTACAATTGAAAATAAAATAAAGAAATTAATCTCTTCAGGTTGAGGCGTGGATATCTCGCTCTCTTTAGGGAGATTCAAGTCCACTGCAGCAAATGTTTTCACCGGTCCAGCAGTAGTCCTCTTTGACTTGTCCCCTCCAGAATACAACAGCCTTCAGAAAGTATAACTCAACAACTCTGGACAAGAGTTGAGTCCAAAGCTCCACAAAAAAGAACACATCCCTTCAACTAATAAGAACTCCCTTTTAGACTAACTCTTTCACTCTTTGTTTTCTCTTGTGTTTTGTGTGTACCAAACCAAATGAAGACCACCACTATTTATACTACAAGAAGTCTTCTTAGCAATGAATAGGAAAATAATGGAGGTAGTAAATAATGAAGATAATGGCCTTAGGAGTTTATAGGTTACATATGTTACAATAGGAGTTACATAGGTTACAAAGAGTAATGGAGAAATTAAGAATGAAATAAAGTGATGGACAACCAATGCTAATGGATGATGTAGAATTTATCCATTCCAATGTTTATTGGAATGTTTTTATCTCACAATGAATTCAACTAATAAAGCCCAAAAGTAATGGCACTACATGACTACCAAGTCAAAGATGAATGCCTACCAATGGTCATTCTTATAACTCCAAAATAAAGCAATTTAATATGTTAAATATTAATATGAAAATGCTAATAACCTAACACAATATCTTACAAAATTGAAACAATTATTATAAACATTTTATAGTTTTATTAAGTATTGTTCATATTTCTTCTTTTTTAGTAAGTGCTAATTTATAAAAGAAATTATTTTTAAAATAATTGTTAGTTCACGCGAACATAAGTAGTATATAATAAATCAACATATTTCTAATAATTGATTTAACATCAATTGGTCTATTATTACATTTTATTTAAAATGTGAAAGAGGTATAGTTTCTCAAATTCAAAACGTTGAGGGTGTAAATTACAGTGGGTTTTTTCTAAAAGCAAATTCAATTGAGTAATTTTACAAGGAAAAAAAATTACTGACTTTTATGTATAATTTCTCGTTTATAAGATAAGAATTGAAAGTAATCTTCCACTGTTGCTATCACATGAAACGTGAAAGAAAGTAGTTATATTTACTTTTTTTTCCTTTTGGCAGAAGAATGGCTTATTAATTAAATATTCTTGTCATTATTTATTGAGTGGAGAATATATATGGTCATTAATTCATTCTAAGGTGGAGTTAAGGTTAGGAGTTTGGAGGTTTTAAATTAATTCATTTTCTAACAATTTATTTAACATCTCAAAATGTGTAAGAGGTATAATAATTACTCAAATTCAAAATGTAAAGGTGTAAAGCGTTTTTTTTAAAAATAAATAATCTCTTTTTAATATAAAATAAAATTTAACGACTTTACTGAGTAATAATTTTTCGTATTTACTGTCATTTATAAAACACATGAAACAAACGTGAAATATAGCAGTTATTCAGTGCTGGCAAAATGCCTAATTAATTTATTCGATTCTTAAGAAAAATCAACTTCCTGTAAGTTTTCCTTTTTCCCTTTTACATTTTAATGGATTAGTATAGTAAGATTATATATCCTTTGTTGAATTCATTAATAATTAGTGAATGATAATTTATTTAATTGCAGGAAAATGATGAGTTTGTTATAATTAGTGGAAATGGGGAATGTGATGGGTACAATATTATCAGGTTTTGGTGATATCGTTGGCAAATTGTTTGGTCATCCACTTGATTTTTGTTTGGAAAAACTTGTAGGTATGTAAATATTTTGGGCAATATTTAATCATATTAATTCTTTTTTAAAAAAAAATCATATTTTAACATAGTTAATTAATTGATTAACATGATTTCAGTACATCATGTGCCCCAACATGGGATTTTCTTTGTTATATAGAAAATTTTTGCATCCCTCAACTCTTGAAATCAGCCATGGTGTCAATCCTCTTATACTTTGGTTAGTTTCTTAATTTCGCGCTATTATATTATTCTGTTGTTGTTTATTTTCTTTTTAGGTTAGGTTTGCACCGGTTCTCTTATTAATTGTTATGTTTTCTTTATTTTTTTTAAAACCTAAAATTGTTGCAATTGAATCGAGGATCTTTGTCGAGGTAATAGCAAAGCCTCCTGCGTATACTCTATCCTCTTCGGACTCTATTCGTGAAATTTTCATTGCGTTTGTTGTTGGAAAATAGACTGATTGAATATGACTTCTTATGTAGAAGGTTTTTAATGTTAAAGTAAAAATGATATCAAGGAATATTTAAACTTCAATTTCAATTTGTCTTAGTTACTTTTTGATTCATTTTATTTGTCTTAGTTACTATTTGCATAGCAAAAGAATATTTATATTTTATTTTAAAAAGTTGAAGATTCTATGTCCGTATTTACACCAAACAGTTGTTAGTTTGATTCTCCTACTCCGAATCAAGTCAAACAAATCGAAATAGAAGTAGTAACTAACTTGATTTATCCTTTGTTTATTTGCAGTTTTCTTGTTCCTCTACTTGCTTTACAAGTTGGGAATTTGTCAGTGTATTTGTCACATACTTTGTAGAACTACATGGGCATGTTTCTCCACTTGCTTTTCAGCCTTAGATTGTTGTTGCACTTGCATTTGTTTCAACATTCAGAAACTTCTTCTTACACCTAGGCATAATAGAAGAAGAAGAAGACATCAAAAAGATATTGAAGAAGCATTTGTTGATATTTCTAGTAACTCTAGTGAATCACAAGGCTCTATTAAATTTGATGACACAAAAAGAGGAAAATCATTGAGGGAACATAGAAAAGATCATATGAGAAAGTCTTTGAGGCCAAAGAGTCATCATATGCAAGTCCAAATTGTTAATGATTCAATCCATCACCACAAGAAGAAGAAGTTCAAAAATGGTCCTATCGATGATCATATTCGAGTGAGTAGAAGAAAAAAATTTGCACAAAAGGGTATGTTCGTTAAGGGTTCAACACGTTCACGAAGGAGAGTATAAAAGACGGGGGTTCTCAGACTCTTCAAAAATCTCACAGGGCGTGTGTTTTATCTCACAATATATATAGTTTTGGAGAGTGAACAATATAGGTTTTCAATTCTATGGTCTTCTAAATCTTGTAAATTCTGAAGTTTTCGCCTAATATATTGTATAACTTGTATACTCTGATAGTGTAAAGAATTGTAATTCATTTAATATTGTTTTAACAAAGAATTTGGTTTGTATTTTATGATAATAGTCCTTTTTTTTTTGTTGACAGTAATCTGTGTTAAACTCTCCTCTGTTTCCTCCCTTCAAATAAATATTAGAAGTAATGGTGTGTATCATTTTTTATTTTTTTACCTTTGATCACCACTTCTCGGTTACCTTGCTCAACGTGAAGGCTAAACACACATGTTGTGCCTTCCCTAGGCGTTCAACGAGTAAGTCTTTGAGTTGTTCCTTTATTCTAACATGAAGAGTTCTTTTAATCAGCTCTTGATGCAATTTCTATGACACCAACGAATAACGTAACCAAATTTAATAATGTATCTAGTCATCGATTTCCTGGCTTGTGGTTATGAAAAGTAACATATAATCTGGTTGTGATCCTATTGTGTTGACATGAACAGGCCTAAACAAGTACGCTTCTGATGAATTTGAGAGGAATATTACTCATGTGAGACACACTTAGTTTGTGCATAAATTGACTACATAGCCAATGTTGGGCATCGATATAGTGAGATAAGCTAATTTGTATAGCTTTATCAAAGTGAAAAGCCTCCACAATATATGGTAAATGAGATGTATTCACAGGGGATGAGGAGGAATTAATGATAACAAGGATGCAGATTAATGACAACAAGATCAATGATAAAAGAAGTAACAACTACGACTTTTTATCGGGTTTTAATGGTGTGAACAAAAAATGGAGGGTTGTGACTCTACTGAAGGATTGTAACTATGTCAAAGGATTGTGACCTTTATGAAAGATTGTGTCCTTTCTAAAGGCTTGTGACCGTTTGAAATGTTGTGGTTATTTGTTTTTTCTTTTCATCTATTATTGTTTCTGATTTGCTAATCTGAATACAGAAGTCAACAAAGATTTGAATCATTCTATGTATGTAACATGACCTGAACTCAATTAAGTTGATAGTATCTAGGTAAAGGTCAAGTCTTAAGTGGGGTTTGAACCGAAACTTCAGGTTTGCATGGACACTCATTATCTCTGAGCCAAAGACAACTTTTTTCAGTACAGAATTTGACATATATATACAACGAAAATTTTCGTTAAAGGGTGTCCACACCCTTGGGTGGCTATAGCTCTACCATTGGTGGGAAGTGTGTTAGGATGTGTATTAAGATCATGAAGAACCTCTGGCATAAAGTCATGTTGCTGGCTTATCTATCGATTTAGTTTTAATATAAACTTATATACAAGATAAGGTCAAGCTTCAAACGATCATATTTCCCCGCTCAGCCACTGTACAAGGTCAACTTCAAAGCATATCTCCTACAATTTCTTCATGTTCATTTTCAAAATTATCTTCATCACTCGAGTTGCTTAGTGTTTTTTCTTTGATATAATTAATTGATCAACATGATTTTAGTACAGCATGTGCCCAAACATGGGATTTTCTTTGTTACATAGAGAATCATCCAGGTGTCAATCCAGTTTCTTAATTCCTTACAATCTCTTATATATATATATATATATATATATATATATATATATATATATATATATATATATATATATATATATATAATTATTACGTTTTCTTTTTTTGTTAAAACCTAAAAAATTGAGTTGAGGGTCTTTTTCGAAGTGATAGCAAGGCATGCATATACTCTATCCTCTCCGGATCCCATTTGTGTAATTGTTGTTGAGACTCTACTAGACCTACTAGACCTGTTCTTGTGTGATGAGACCAACGAACCTAATGCTCTGATACCAAGTTTGTCACGACCCAAAACCGGGCCGCGACTGGCACCCACATTTACCCTCCTATGTTAGCGAACCAACCGATCTAACCTTAATATTTCAATGTAACAACAACAAAAAGTAATGCGGAAGACTTAAACTCATTAATAAAATTCAATAATCAACTTCTATAATTC